TTATTTATGTTTTGAGTTTTGTTAAAGTATTTTCATTGCCGTCTATTTGAATAGAGTGTCATAAAACAGCGACGGCGAATTGTGAGCGGCTGTTAAAGTTTTGATTGCCTGTAAATAAACAGCTCGTTGTTGCCGCAAAAAAATGAAAACCAAATGAACCTTAAAGAGCCAAGAGCTGCTACAGAAAATAAATAGCGAATGCGAACTGAGCGGAAATGAGTTTGCAGCTCGTGGCGAGCTTAGCACTTGAAAAATCACTTAATTCATTTAAATAAGCACCAAAATGTCACATCCAATGACTTGGAAGTCCATTTGCCCCAAAGAAGGTCGCCAAACAGTTCGTTCGGTGTGCTCTCGTCCCATCGTCCTTTCGCCTGCATGTCTGTGCAGAGTCGGCAAACTAATTTAAAAATCCACTCGCTAAGCACTACCAACTACACCTCCGCTCAGGCACCTCCTGCGAGACTCATAGACTAGAACTTGCCACCCGCTTTGGCTGGCTATTTATTTTTTCATTTCTTGCCTTTTTATGATGATTTTGCACTGCTCTTGGCGCCTGGTAGCTGGTGGTTGGTGGCTGGTGGCTGGTGCCTAGTGCCTCACAGCTCCGGGCATTGGGCAAAGCAAACATTTTAGCCTCAAGTGTTTAAATATAAAACGGAAATGAGCTTTGCCAGACAGCCCAGTGCGATTCTAGCTGTCCCCCAGTGACTTTCTACGAATTACACTCCGAGCTGGGATTATACCCGAAACGTACTAAATGAACTGCACAGCACACACTCATCCACACACACACGCACGCACATACACCTTAGCCTACCTTACGTTGCATAAAATGCCTACAAGAAAATGTCAATTAATGGCGTCAACTTTTTCATTTCGTGCCCAAATGAATTGTGAGGCATTCAGTAATGATTCACTCTGATCACTTTGATAATTTGTCATTTAGTTTTGTCATTGCCAAAGTCATCAGGCATTCAATCAAATGTAAAAGCTGTCAAGCAACAGACAAACAATCGAATCAAATTCCTTTTTGGGGGCCCCCTGAGCCACGCCCCTAGCGCATATATGCATTTATTGGCATCTAAATTGTATTCTCGGTGCGATCATTAACATTAATGTAATAAATTGTATAATATTAGGTAATTTTATGTCTCGAAAAGAGATGTTTTTCATTTATTTACGAGTTTAAAGTAGTTTCATATGACATAATTAAATTATAGAGTAGAACACGTGCACAGAGATCTTTAGCTTAAACGATGTTATCTATGCTGTGATAAGGGAATCAAATTCCTGTAACTGAAACATTCAGTGAATGTGACAAGCTGTGGCAGAAACTCACGTATATCTAGCTGACGCCAGAGTATATCAAATTAAGTAGACCTCAGAAAAATTGTATTGCAATTTATGGATTCGATTTGTGCTATTCTGTCATGTTGATTGGCATTTCAAATTGGCAACAGCTCATCAATTTGGCATTGTGCAGTTCCTCGTGTGTTCTCTGAGCTCCGCTCGATTTCAATTTCAATTTCATTTTCAATGGCGCATCCCAGAAACTATTTGTCCAAATTGTTGTTCGTAAATAATGCCATAAGATTCGATAATAGGAATAACAAATTCCCTCTCATTGGTAAATTAATTAAATCGAGCTGAAATTCATTTGCTTTTTGTTTTAATTCGTGCGTGCTGGCGATTGCGATTAACTTAATTAAAAGCAAAGTTTAAATTCCTAATTATTCTCGTTTAGCTTTAGTTATGGGGCATGGTTGCTTGGGCAGCAACTGAAGCGTTTATGTTGACGCATTTATTAGCCAATTCATGAATCATTTTGGCGACACGCCCCAATGATCCTAAACAAGTGCCTGTGTGTGTGTGTGTGTGTGTGTGTGAATGAATATGACAAACTGGGGGATTTTCCCATGAGCTAAAATATGAGGATTTATGTGTGTGAGTATTAAAGTGCTTTAAAAATACAACTTGTAATACATTATCAAACAGAATATGCTGTGATAAAATGCAATTTGAGATTAGATTACTAAAATGAATATGAAATGTAAGCTGGGCTGCTTTTTAAATAATTCGCTTTTTAGAATTTGAAATGGCCAAGCAAATTAGTTGTGGCCACAAAAATATTTTCCCCTGCCAAATGATAAAAAAGAAAGCTGGAAAGTGAAATGTGAAAAATGCTGAAACGCAAATAAAACCGCACAGCTGTAAAACATGACGCGGAACAGCATGAAAGGGAAACTGGCTGAACATGTGAGCAGGGAGTGAGAAATGTGTGCGCAAAACTGAAAACAAATTTGCCCAAAGCGTTTTCACAGCCAATTTTTTATGCAAAGCCAAAGACAACGCTTCCCACTTACATACATACATATGTATATTTCTCTCATTTTCTATCTGAGCATATATGCGTGTGTGTGTGCGAAAAAGATTGCTGCACATTTTTCCTATTTGTTGTGCATGGCACATAAATCCTTTTGTTAGACGGAAGTGAACTAGCCGCTTGGTTCGCATCAGCACTTCTTACATTTACATATGTACATTTAGCATACAAAGTGCTGGCGTGTGTGTGTGCTGTGTGCGGGTGCATTTGGCCCCACAATGTACATAAATGTCATAAAACACTCACACACAGGCACAGCAGCAGCGCCACATACTTAAGTGCCGCAGCATCGTTTAAAGTGTGTGCTCCCAAGAAAGAGCCTCGACACCCCAGTCGGACGCCTACCAATGCAAGTGGCATGCAACCTACGTTGCTGTTGTTGTAAAGTATTTTACACATATTTACGCCAGTGAGAACACAATGAATGAATGTAAGCAGCTACAAGTAGATCCGAGGAATGTCTGGGGGCCAAGAGTAAGACCGTTGTGGCCCGTCACTTAAATGGCATTCGGTTTAAATCTCAATCTGTTATGCAGTCGAGTGATTTTGCCTTGTTAGCGACACATACTCACACACACACACACACACACACACACACACTAACCAACAACATGTGGCCAATTGCAGTTGCTGTTGCTGTTGCTAGTCATCATACTCAGCCATGGCAGTTAAGCTGGACGTTATGGACCCTAATGGCAATATTTCTGTCATTTAATCTTCTAATGGTCCACACAATTTAAAATCCCAAACACTTAAGTAGAATATATGATCTATTTAACGAGTATATATTAAATGACATATGTATATTGCACTTCAAATAAATCTCCATTCACCGTGGCTGTTGAGTCCATAGAGTACACAAATTTATATGTTAATGTGGCTTTAATTTGATGCTTTTCAGAAAATTTAAATACGCCTAAAAGTATATTTTCATTAGGATATGAAATTATTTGTAACTGAACAGTGACTAAAAAATATATCTTTATTTATTTTAATTTATTTTATTTGCTATCTGTTTTAATGTAAACAATAAACAACATTTTTTTTGAGTTTTCACTTTAAATTTCCGCTTGGCTTAAGTTTAAAGAAGCTCAATCCCTATATATGAACATATTTACATTAAATACAATGTTAATTTATTAAAAATAAACTACAAATAAAATATATGCCACGCGTACGCGTGTCTTCATGCTTGGCAGCTATAAATCATCAGCCGCTTCAATAAATTAATAAATATTAGGACGCATTTTCGAGATACACGTTTTGACCATATTCATTAGCTGTCCAAATGGAAATTAGCTCAGTCCGAAAATAGCTCTGCATACCTAAATCCCATTCACAAAAGGCCCAATTCAAAGGTGTGTCGAAGCACACGAACCTTTCCAGATTCAGATTGTGCCAGTGATAGCCAAATAAGTTGTTAAGTAAAAATAGTTATCATTATTGTGATTTAAAAGGAAGAACGAGTAAATAATACGTCAGATCATTACGTCATATTCCACAGTACAGACATATGTCATCCCATAGTATTCGAATTACGTCCGTTATTTGACCTTTGGATAACTTTTAACCTTTGCTGCTGAATCTAAGCAATTATATAATAAAGATTACATATGAATAGATAGATATACAGCAGTCAGTGTGCTGTGCGTGCTTGAAATATTAAAGCATTAATTGAACAAAGAATAGTCAAAATAATCAACGTAACGTAACTTATCGATTTTTTTCCAATATTCAATAGTATAGGCTCGGTAAACTTGAATTGAAAAAGTTTTTTTGGCCACCGAGAGCCAAGATTTGTATATCTACGTACATATATATGGGAATGTATAAGAATGTTAAAGCTAATTTGCATGGGCAACGGGCGAGGAGGCGAAGCAAGCAAGCTATGCATACAAATTAACAATGGAAATGCAATTTGTCATACTTTGCACTTTGACGTTTCATTTTCGTAGCTGGCGAAAGCAAGGGAAAGACTAACTGACAGTTGTGGGTCCGTAAGAAATGCGGACAAGCTGAAAAATGACAGCGCATGAAACGACGAGAGAATTGGGCGAAATTCAAACGAAAAACTACGCCAGGAATGCAACCGCAATGGGCCTTGAGAAAAACAAATTAATCAGAGAAAATCTACTTTTTTTTTTTTTTGGCAGCACAGGCAACTCCATTGTGAGGAACTCAATACACAAATAATATTTCTGGGCGAAACTTTGCAATCAATGTGTGCATAGCAGAGCCATAGTAAGCGGCTTACGATTTCGCTTGATTACTAATAAGAAAACTTTGTCAATGGCAATCGAGAGTAATGAATTGCTGCGAACTTATTAAATGAACAGGTGATTTGTGCATTGGGATTTGTGGGGGAACAAGTTGCTGAAAGCGCAGCAATTAAATTTTGATTGCAGTTTTGCTTCACTTGCTGTTGCGAGTTATTTAAAAGATTTCAGGCATTTTCGCAATCGATTTTAAGTGCAACATCTGTAGCAACTATATTTTAATACGTGATAGTACAAAGGTGGCATTGGTCGCATTGCGTATACGTCCGTTCCATGTGCTAAGCCATTCGCTAACCTTTTTTTTTACCTATCTCTCTCTCTCTCTTTGTCTGTTTCAGCATACATGTAAAAAATACAAAAAAAATCACAATCTGAACAAAAAAAAAAAAAAAAAGCGAAAAACGAAGGACAACAAGAAAACTTATACCAACACGTTCGACTCCGTGCCAAAAAGGTTGTCGAAGCTTTTGGGCAGTCGTGTAAACAATCGAGCCAGCATTTTGCTGATGAGTATGCTGCAGGCTCAGTGAGAGACAGCGATGCCAGTGAGAGTGCAGCTCAAAGTGAATCGTGCCCCATATTGTTGCATGTAAACAGAAACTATAGACAGCCCAGGCAGCTCCGTGCCCCAGCGTCAGCGGCTCAGTTTGCACAACACAACAAGACACAGAGGCGACACTGTTCAATGTTCTGAATGGAGACGACGTGTGGACGCAAACGGGCGACGGCAAGCAGACGCAGCTATCGGGGCTCCAACGTTGGCCAATGTTTGCCAACATCAGCCACGACAACAACATGGCCATAATAAGGCAACAGCAACGAACTAAACGTAATTCATGGTTACAAGTACTCAACAGCCTGCTGCTACAGGTAAGTGCGTGCAAATCAAAAAGAACGTTGATTGAATCAATTAACATTAACTTCAATCTATCTGCCACACGAGGGCCGCAATTTAGTCATTAATAATAATAGCTACTAGAGACATAGCTGAAAGATCTAAAAGAGAGTTTAGTTAGCCTATGCCTTACCAAGCTCTGCATGCCATATCCATAGCCTTAAAGAATTGTAAAACACGTTAGAACTTTCTTCACCCAAGGCATATGTTAAACTCTCTCTGTGGCATGTACACTTATTATAGCTTTGTAGTGTAATTAAAACTATTTTTACCACTCGGTCGTCATAAAACTTTAAATGTGTATCTGCAATTAGTCATGTTGGCGTGTTGAAAATATTGCTGGCAACATTTCCTGTTTATATTTCCGTTGCATGTTTCCGTTGTTAATAGAGGCACGCACATCCTGCAGAGCACACAGTACACAGTTAGGACTTTGGTGCCACTGGGACGCAACCCTGTTTCTATGGTGGTAGGCAATTTACGCATTTCAACAGCAAATCGGAAAAGGCGCTGGCAAGTGGAATGCGGCGCGTGTGGCAGCTGTAGCGACACAGTTGCACATTGCAGCAGTTGTCTCGACTCCTGTTCTGCGTGTTGCAATCAACATTGACAAGCTGAAATGTGCCATAGACATTGATTATATTGTAACTGTCAGGTTTACACAGCAGTGAGCAGCATGTTCTTTATACCGTTAGGAGTGCAGTTAGCATTAGTGAAATGTGTGGCAATAAATTCTAAGGATAAATCTACATGCCACTTGCGACATTGGTGGCGAGGCGTTGCTTTTATGAGCTACGCGCATGTTTGCATGTGCACTTGTATGTGTATGTGTGTGTGGTTGTAACGTATACGCCACCGAATCGCAGCGACACACGTTACACGTCAGCTCGTAAAAAGCACATTAAACAGCGGAGATGAACGCCACAGTATTTTTCTTGGATTTAAGGACTCCGTTAATAGCCAAACTATTTAGCTGAGCCTTTAAGATCATCTTAGATTTTGCCTCAGGCTGACATTGTGTAAGCTTTAATCTGGCCACTGTAGCAGTAGGATTAAATGAATCACTCGTGCGACTGCAGATTAAATCAAGTGTAGTTTTTGCTTTATGTAAAGCCCACTCAAGTAGCACAAAGCAGCCACGGCTCAATGCTGTCTTGACTTTGCACCGTCCTACCATCATCACAATCCCAGCATAATCCGCTCTGTTAATGATAAAGCTCTACGCGAAGTCAACATAAATTTGCAAATTACGAGCTGTTATTTGGCGCGTGGAATTTTAGGCCATGTTATTATTATTTTTATCTCTTATGTATATCCTGTTGGCCGGCATTCGCAAGCAATTATCAGAATTAAATTGAAAGTTCTTGATGGTTGCTAACACGGAATCGCTTCTGCCGCAAATTACAGAGCGCCAAAAAAAAACCTTATCTCAGTGTGTTCTGTGGCGTTCTATTCTGGGTTCTGTGGGTACGTGAGATGGTGCAGTTTCACAGAAAATTTGTGCAAATTTGGCGCTTAATTCAGCTTGTTTTGTGACACGTGGCAAGTTGCACTAATTAGCGGTGAATTTAATTTCTAGTTGGCACATTTGAGACTTTCAGAGCGTGTGGCCACACAACTACTATGGATATTACAGATTTTCTTAATAGATTCTCCCCTACACTCCTTTAAGATTATGTGGAAAGTGAGCCATATAGTAGAGCTCTTCTGAGGAAACACAAAGCTAAACAGTTTAAGGTCTTTTCAATAGCGAACGAATATTTATTGCCATATACAAAATACTTGCAGTTGGATTCCCTTAAGGCTGCGAGTTCCCAGCAATGCGCAACAGCACACGCGAAACTTTTGTTTATGTTGTATTTCCGCAAAGCTCTGTTTTTAATATATATAGAAGCAGTTTCATTGCCAAGCTTCCCATTTGCCCTTTCACCCAGGCGAACAGCGAGTCACTAGTAATTTTGCTAAACATAAAATAACTTAGAATGCAAATTAAACTTTTGCAGAACGCGAGTGCGAGTGAAGTTTCGGAAATTAATTTCTCATAAAATAATTTCATGCTCTATTTCTACTCCGTTGGCTCTCGGCAGTGCTGATAATTTGCTCCAAGTTAATTATTTATTTTGTTGACAATCATCGATTGAGCTTGAATATTATATATTCAATAAGTTTTTTACAATTTTATTCACTTAAAATTTCTTTTGCATGCGCTCAATTAAGTATACATTTTTCCAGTTGATGGTGTGCTCCATTTACATGGCAGATTATTAAAATTGAGTGTCTTTTAAATAACCATTTCGAAATCCGTTCAGCATTTTATGCCATATAATTAAGACCAGCACATTTCCGTATCCATGCACTGCACCCCCACGCTCAATGCGATAAAGGCTATAAAGCCTCCGCCAACTGGGCGTATGCGCAACGAGCGTCCAAGAGTGCGTGTGCATCGTATGAGCCGTATTAAAAAAGCTTTTTGCCGATTTATAGACGCCTCTCATTTTAAATGTGAATTATTTATCGTGCACAAGAATTTAATGTTGGCCAATTTCAACTTGTAACTCAATTTAGTCATTTTTCATTATTAGCTGCCATAAAGCTATTTTTACCCGGCGAACCTCCCTCGACAAGAAAACGACAAATATTGCACTAAAATGAAAAGCTCGTATATGTACTTTTAATTTTCAACGCAACAGAAGACTCTCTTTGGCGCATGCCACGACGCCCCCCCGCCCGGCGCCCTATAAAATATTTGGCAGCCTGGTCCACAAAGGCTGCCTCAGCCAGCTTATGCCACACACATACACACACACACACACATATGTATACTGTTTGTCATGTGAGTAATTTCGGCTGCCTTTCACTCAGACAAAGTGCCACTGATTACTTTCATTTTGAGCCGGCAAAAGCATCATTCCTTAACGCCGAATTCTACAACGGCATTCGAGTAACAAGTGCGATACATGATGTTTGCCAGCTTTATATGATTATATTAATATTTCCTTTGCGCGTTGGCTTTACTTTCTACGAATTTATTCAGCTGTTGTTATTTTCAGTGTACGGCTGCTCTTGAACCCAACCGGCAGTTCTTAGCCTGAATAGTTAATTTCGATCGACGTCAGCTCTCTCCTTGACACTGACTCAGACTTAATTGATTGCTGTGGGAAATAACTTGCTGGCATTCAATATTAAATGACAGTAAGAAATCGAGTCCGGCAACTATTGCCCCATAGGTAAATTTACCCTGCAGTTCTTGACTATCAGGCGCAAGTGTCAACTATTTTGGTTTGTGGTAAATCTTGGAGTATAATTAACTTATTGGGTGGAAAAGAACGTGCGCTCCATCGCGCTCAAGTACTAGTCTATTTTGAATAGAGCTGGGTACGCATACCAGAGTGTGGGGCCTGTACACTGTCGAATAAAGTGTAATCGATTTGTTGCGTGCTTTGAATATTTCATGCTAGGCAATTACGTCGCCCAGGCCCCAATATGAGATAATGTTTTGTTGCCTTTTGGCTGTCCAGCCATTAGAACATTAAAGTTGCAAATAATTTCAACTGTTTCAGCTGTTTGCCACAAATATTGATTAGTGGCCAAATCGAGCGCGAATTTTGAATGTGTTGTGCTGTCTTTATTGCGTGTTCGATTAGCCGATAGCAATCGAAATGACAGTCCGTATTTGAGTTTGAATTCATTCATAAATTGTGAATAGCAATTGCCAGCGACATTTAACAAACATATCCAAAATGATGTCAATTAAATTACAACGTCAACGCCAGCTGAATTATAAATTTCGCCAGCCCATTGGGCCCAACACTGTTGCACTATTTGAAATGTCATAGCTTCCGTTTCCACAGGCACTTAGCGGGCAATTAACTAGCAAATAATAGTTGAGAGACTTTTTTATCGTCGACAACGATATTCTTTAATGTTTCAGGTTTGTGCTTTAGCCAATTGCCTGCTGGCCATCGAAAACGTGCACTATCAAGCTAAGCAAACACCACAAAATAGAACGCATTTGTTTTGGCTATTGTTATGTTGGCCATGCCTCGAGAACTTGAATTTCTGGTCTGATATCTATGTACTGTATTTTCATAAATTAATTAGCCATGCCGCCCACGCGCCGTCTGTGTGGCCTAGAGCGGCCAGCTAATTGTGCGCTGAATGGACCTGTAGTAATGCCCTCTCTGTTTCTTATTAACTTGGCTTGCAGGTGGTAAACACAAGTATACACCCATCACAAAAGTACCGCCATGAATGAAACAGAGTGTGAGGATCTCATTAAATCTGTGAAATGGACGGAACCGGCGAACCTGATCTCTCTGGCCATACTCGAGTTTATCAACGTATTGGTCATAGGTGGCAATTGTCTAGTCATTGCCGCCGTCTTCTGTTCAAACAAATTACGTAGTGTTACCAATTTTTTTATTGTTAACTTGGCCGTTGCCGATTTACTGGTGGGCCTGGCGGTGCTACCATTCTCGGCCACCTGGGAGGTGTTCAAGGTAAGTGCAATCATGATGCCAAACAAATAAGACAGTCTCTAATTCCAACTTGTTTAGGTCTGGATATTTGGTGACGTTTGGTGCCGCATCTGGTTGGCCGTGGATGTCTGGATGTGCACGGCATCGATCCTGAATCTGTGTGCCATATCCTTGGATCGGTACGTGGCAGTCACGCGACCCGTCACCTACCCAAGCATTATGTCAACGAAGAAGGCCAAGTCGTTAATCGCCGGCATTTGGGTACTCTCATTTGTAATTTGCTTTCCGCCTCTGGTGGGCTGGAAAGATCAAAAGGTAAGCTACCACACTGACCATGCATAAGCCCACCCACAAGTACAGTAAATTTAAGTGTAAAGCGCTTGGCCACACTGACCTGAAACCATGAAAACTGCTTTTGGCAGGCAATCCACTCGCTTGTAACTCGCACCGACAACTACAAAAGAAACCTCAGTCCGACGCTTAGGTGACCCTTCGGACCGCAATGTTCTGTCATTGACATCATTACAAGTTAAAGTTTTCGACTGAGCCGTTGCCTAACCGCAGCTGAAAATGAGGCGAGTGCTGCAAGTCTTCAAAGCTAGTTCACTTGTGTCAACATGCATGTCAAACAAGTAAAGTGCCTTTGATCAAACATGATTAGGAAATACCCTAATTCTACCAGAAGAGAAATACCCTTAACTTGACTGTAATCACTTGATGTAAGCTAGCATGCCATAGGCAAGGACTTCTTCTCGTCAGACTACCCGATTGACAACTATTACAGGGTATTTTAGCCATTCTCCTTTTTCTAGCTATTTTGGCACATTGCTGCCATCAGCGCAACGGTTTTAGTGTTGTCATTTTTGGCACACATGCATAAAACTCTTATGTAATGGCAATGATAATGATGTGCCACACATGCGGACAGGGAATCCAACCAAAAGCGGACAGCAGGCGACGACAGAGCGCATGGCATAATTCATGTGTATGCGCCCTGTACTGGGGTAATCAGATCAACAGCGATATGGCAACTAACTGGTCCAACGAATTACGACTTCCTGCAACACTTTATTGTCCACAGTGTGTGTGTGTGTGTGTGGGTGTGTATCTGTGTGGGCTTCTATGGTCTTGTGCCTGTGTCTCTCTCTGTTGTTATTGCCCAACTAGCCTAAGGCCAAGTTGGGTCAAATTTACTAGCCATATTGTTTCAACTTTGTAGTCGTACAGCTAGTGGGAGCCACCTACAAATATGTATGTCACTTGGGCAGCCCATTTAGGGCACATAAATCTAGCATAGCTGGTGGCCAAATCTTGTCCTGTTTATTTGCCTAATCTTAATGGCAGATGCCCATCGAATCGTGACAGTCAGCCAGCAACTGTTGCCTTAGGTCGCATTCACAGAGACGTACAAATATCATAAGGGCGCATCTACTGAGTGCATTCGGACTCGAGCCGATTCCACGAGCATAATTGAGGTTTGATTTACGCGCTCAGCTGCTGGCAGCAGCGATTATTATACGACTGCCATGCGGCATTGTTGGCAGCAATTCAGCCAGCGAGAGCGTCTTATCCCGCACTCTCTCACTTGACTTCATTCAATTTCGAATCAGGTGTACATACATACACACATATATTCCGTTGACTACTCTGCAAATGACAGAACATATAATATATTCTCGTCAAGCGTTGACCTTGGCATTCGGAAGAAGCTTTAAACTGTGTTGACTTTATATTGAAAATACATAAGAATACTCTGTAAATGGGAAGCGACCTAATTGGCTGAGGTCTATAATTCTAAAATTCCTCAATCTGAATATCTATCATAATGACAAATTTTAACAATAAATTCCATAATTAATCATATTTATGCTAAGGTTAACAAACTAATTGATTCAGAGTATGTGTTAGCCGACTTCACTTTAGCTTATTGTGAAACCATATAGTACATGTGTACATCCAGTTCCTGGCGCTTAAATGTATGCTACACCTTGGCATAATATTCATGCAGCGCACGTTCCTGCATATCTTTTGCAAAATAAACCGCTTTAAGTTGAATTTTTATTGGCTTATTGTGAGCAATGTGTGACTCTGAAATTTTGTGTGCGAGTCTAGAATTTCAATGGGTTGGCTGGATGACAAAGCATTTAATATACACCATCACATTTCATATATACCACCACTTTGACGGGGTTAGCCAGATGATAAAGCTTTTAATAAAAACCCGTCAACTGTCACATATGCATACATACATAAATATAGATATTTAATACGTGTGTGTTTCTCTTTCAGGCCGTGGTACAGCCAACCTACACACGGGGAAACTATACGCTTTACTATGCCACCACAATGTCAAGCACACAGGATGAGCAACTAGATGTAGATAGAATTAAGCATAAGGAGGAGCACGATGCTGCTGGCTCCTTGTTAACTAAAAGTGGCAACGGCAATGGCAATGGCAATGGCAATGGCAATGCCTACAATCCATACGATCCCAACTTCTCGCCAATCGATGACTCGGCTGAAATACATATTGCAGCCATGACAACAACAAGCACAATTTCGCCCAGCACCGAAATGGATTCCAATATTTTTAATGCGCCCGCGTTGAATGTGCCACAGCCGGCAACAAGTTGCCCCTGGAAATGCGAGCTCACCAATGATAGAGGCTATGTACTCTACTCGGCACTGGGCTCCTTCTACATACCCATGTTTGTAATGCTCTTCTTCTATTGGCGCATATATCGAGCGGCCGTGCGCACCACGCGTGCCATAAATCAAGGCTTCAAGACCACAAAGGGTGAGTAACAATTCGTATCTGTTCTCGTAGTGTTAACATCAAGATTGGTAGCTAAAAGAAACATTCAACTTTTGGACACATCTTTTTTGAACTCTCATTCACAAAATTAATGGCAACTTGTGCGTAGCTTAAAGTTTTGTCCCTTTAATATTTTCTAATATTTCTCATTCAATACGATTTGATACTCTTAAATAGTAAGTTTTATAATCCTCGTAGCGGTTGTAGTTCGTACATATAAATACATAAATTATCCTCAATATTCATATTGACTGTTTATCAATTTTTTTTAAACTCTATTCGTGTAGATTGTTGAGTGACGTCTTTGCCCCGTTTCTTTTTAATTTCATAAAAAATAAATACAAAATAAAAAACACCACAACAATAATATCAAATGAAAGTCGATATAAAATGAGACACATATATACATATATATATTTGTATACACACATTATGAACATGACACATCAGAGCCATTGTCTATAACAACCTGGTAAAACATATCCACCAATACAAGCTCATAGATTAAACACAATATTTCGAAACAGATGTGGATGGTTCAACGAAATATTGAATATCTAACGCTTATGTCAGCAATCTAGAAACTCATCTCTCTGTTTGTGCGTCTGTGTCCCGTGTCTAATACAGCAATTGTTTTTTTCAGTCCAACAGCTAGTGCTGTCAGATATGTTTTATAAACAATTGTAAAAATCATATTTGACATTTATAAATAACCACACATACACACACACACATTTATGTCGGAAACTCGTTCTTGTGTCTTGCACTCGGTACATTATAAATAAACATGAAACATTCTGAATAAAACAAATATATAAAAAAATAAATAAGTATTTACAAATAGAACCCTAAGACATAATCCAAATGTAAATTGCAGAACAAAGTTTTTAAATATTCAATTAAGTCTACATTAAAAAAACAAAAAGGTAATCAAAAACTCAATTTGTATACTAAATCCTTGTCACTAAAATCCTAATTAATTAAATAAAAATTACCTAATTTTACTGTGCATATTTGTAGCTTAAATACACATTTAGTTTAGACTACTATTATAAATATGTATATGCGATAATGGAAATATCCCAGCCCAACAACTGTCAACGAAAACCACACAGTACATCCTCGAATGGGATAGCCCTCCCTATGGCGTTCAGGCTTTAATATTTCCTGCCCATAATCTACGAGAATCCATGCACACTTAGCACGTTAAAGTCTTCGGAATGCTAGAATACACAGTTTTATCATACGAAGCATACATCTTCACTTTGTTTTCCAGCATACATCTCGTTTGCGATCCTTGTAATAATTGGCATTGTTTTTCATCCAAGTACAAGAGCGAGCACATCAAACGATTCAGCAGCTTAGGCAAAAAGCAGCGTCAATGTAATGAAACGAAAAAAGTTCCAACTTTGGGGAAAAGCAAGGAAAAATACGAAATTCCGCACGCTTGAGATGAGTGTGGGTGACCCACGTATCCCTGCTGCTGTGTTAAATTATTTATTTTTATTTCGTCCTATACGGGCACTTTCATTTGAAGTTAGTGTCTTTTTAAATTGCCATTAAATACTCGGGCAACTCGTACACCCTTGTCGTCTGTATGTACACATGTCACATACATACATATGTATGTATGAATGTGTGTGTCTGTTCCCATATGTGGCCCATTAGATGCGCAATATTTTGTCAATACTGCAGCGCACTTTCTTCCAGCTGATCAGCTCATTGAGCACAGTTCTAGTTGGGCTTTTGGATCTCATCGACTTGGCTGCCACCTGCAATAACGTTGTCAAGCCAAGCGCACGCATTGTCTATAATCCGAGCAAGCCAAAAAGGCCAAGCCAACCGGCTGACTGACTGCCCTACTGGCAAACTGACTAACTGACTAACTGACTCGCTGACTCGCTGACTCGCTTACTGGTTGGTTATATAATAAAAATCAATAAGCCGCTTTCGTGCGTTCAATGCTCCTGCTAATTGTGGGCCGAGAGCAGCTACTTTTGTGCGAGTCCCAAAATAAAAGACCAGTCAAAAGTGCCTACAATTCGCCATAAGCCTAATGACAGTTTAATGCCCGGACTCTTGTAATCTATAATTTTTGTTTTTTCTATTACGATACAACTTGCTTTAATTTGGTTGGGCTTAAATGTGCTCAGAGTAGATGTTGGATGAAAAACAAGCAAAAGACTTTTAATTTATTACATTTACATATATAATTCTATATATACATATACATTTATCTATACAGTTTTCTATCGATTTTTTTACACACTTAAAACGAATATGAAAAACTTGTGCGTTAAATTCCCAACGCCTCTTCTCCTGTCAATACTCCACTTCGCGTGTGTCACATAATATTATCAGCATTAAAGGAGTGGGTCTTGAATGTCTCGTAATTATGACCTAAATGCTGTTTTGTTGGCCTATGATGCCATCGTGCTGTTTGCTGTATGCCCCGCTTTTTGGGCTCAGTTGGGCCGTTGTGTTGCTTTGTTTTGCAGCTGGCGTGTCCTTAGTTGACACTGTTTTGAAGACAAAGCCCTGATTTTCAGAAACATCCGCTTGCTGAATATCATGCGACAGCCTTGGAGCACACATGTAGACACAGCGGCGCTGAGCTTGTTATAGTTGTTATTTTTTTTTTTTTTTCTTTTTCTTTCTACGGACCACTTGCCGTGCGTGTCTTCATTTCTTTCACTTTGCGCGCCGGTCCTAGTTTTAGCACACAACACGAAACGCAAAAGTCGGAAAACATTTCGTGACACAATGCGGGGGCGTGTGCATAGTTTTTTGTTTTTGTTTTTGTTGTTGTTTTTATTATTATTGTTGCTGTTAGGGTAGAATTCCTATATGGCCCACTCGCCCTTTAGTGGTTTTTGAAGGTAATCAAGTTTCAAGTTCATAAACTAGCTGAGGTTCATGGCGACGTCTATTAAAATATACGCAGTAGCACTACCAACAGCAACAGCAGTAGCAGCAGCAGGAGAAGAGTGCCAGGCATGGCACTTGAGCCTGTTATTGTTCTTACGCCAGTTGCACAGAAACTGAGGGCTTTCAAAATTTCAATTTCAATGGGCCTAGCCAGGGCCAGGGCCCCGTGTCAACAGCAGGCGCTGGAACTTTCACGCCAGCCCTTTCAAGATTTTAGATTTCACCTTGACTTTCACTTGCCTCAGTTTTTAGCCTTACAAATACCTACTAAAAGGTCAATTAAGGCAAGCAAAACAAAAAGTGCCCATTAATATTACAAATGAAAGCAAATGACAAATAATTGATTATATAATTATTTTACAAGCCACAAAATCCGTTGCATTGAAATTGGCTGTAAATGGTTTTTCCGTATGCGGATTTAAATATTTTATGTGTTTTGTTCGATTATGTTTTATTTTGTTCATAAAGTTTCCATTATGTATTGTTATGCCAGCGACAAATTTGCATATGGGTGGCATTTCTATTTGCCAATGATTTGGGCGGAGAACAGTTTCATTTGATTTGCTTGTTTGTGGAGAAGCCCTCGCTTTAGCCGAGCAGCTTAGATATGTTTATCCCACCCAATGCCTGCGGCCGTTCAGAAGGCTTCCGCATCGGGAAACAAATATAAAATAGTTTTCATATTCACATTAATGGGAAAATATACCGTGTTCGCATTTTCCCTTTTCAAACTTTATCAAATTTATTAAAAGCTTTTCAATGGCTGTTTCTCTTTTTCATTCGGGCTTTTAATATCAAAGACTTCTGCTCCATATTTACATTTTTACATATGTATGTCAAAAGGTTTGTTTTTATGCAAATGGAATTTTTCAGGTCTGTCTACTTTCTGTCATTTATATCATTTGCATTTGCCAATATGAATACCATACAAATCCAATTCAATATTTTTTTTGTATACATAGAATATTTTATAAAAAATATTTTTAATTAAGTCCGACTCTTGAAACTATGCTTTTAAAATGTAAAATTTGAATTTTTAAAAATATATGTTTACATAAATAAAATATTTTTAGTATACACACATCTTTCATTGATTAATTTCTGTCAATTTGTCAATACAGACTGACATCGACTGTCTACGAAATCCCAACGTTATTAGCTAATACGAACGGGGCCAAAAGCCGACAGCCATTGTTAATTATGTCAACACGGACCGGAAAATCAATAAGCATAAAAACCCCAGCTAATTAATAAACAAACTTCCCGAATTACTTAATTACTTATTTTTGATTAAATCAATTATTTGATCATATTTTTCAATACTCAATTGTAATTAGGCGTTTTGAAACCCAACTTTTGTACATTCGGGCATGTTCTATTATAAATCCCAAATTTTTTATAAACCATACTCTTAATAATATCTTAAAAATAAATAAATTAACATTTTTAAGCATGCCCCACAAAAAGGCATTAAAATTTAATTAAAATCGAATATCTGCCTATTCCTTATACATTTTTAAATTATATTATACCATCTTATACAATATATAAAATATTGACGTAGTACATTCTTATAATTAAAGATAAACTGCCAAGTTTTTCAATAAACATCTATATGTGAACGTACGTAGTTAGATTCCCGTTTTCTGCTCATGTGTGCTAGCCCTAATTACTAAAATTTTGTGTGTCTCTAACCAAAGAAAACTCGAAACAATCAGAAATCAATACCGATCCAAGACAAACAACAATCACGCATACACAAGCTCATGTATAATACAAGCTGAATGTTTTCATGTGCTCACGATGACACCCACTACATACAACCAAAACAATCTAATGTGATTGCATTTGATGTGATTTTTGTACTGAGTCCCATTTCGACTTCCTGCCAAATTCCCACACTGACTTATTGCAGGCAGTCCACGCGAATCGGGGGGCAACAATCGCGTTGATGACTCCCAGCTAATACTGCGCATCCATCGTGGGCGCCCCTGCGGCACACCGCAGCGCACGCCACTTTCGGTGCACTCCATGTCCTCGACGCTGAGTGTAAACAGCAATGGGCCAACAGGCGCTGCCCTCAGCACGGCGAATGAGGATCAACAGCCCGCCTCCCAGACGGGCACGCCAAAGAGGGCGACTTCGATGCGTGTGAATCGCCAGCGGCACGAGAAGGTGTCCATCAAGGTTTCGTTTCCCTCCTCGGAAAATATGTTGGAGTCACCGCGCATGGGTGCCTCGCAGCAGCCGCCACCCTCGCCCCACTATGCCGTCATCAGCAGCACCAAAAGTGGTGTCAGCAGCCTCACCAACGGGCGACGCGCCTCCTTCAAGAGCAGCCTCTTCGACATTGGCGAAACCACCTTCAATCTGGACACGGCCAGCGGAGCAGCAGCTGATCTGGAGAGTGGCAATTCGACTGGCTTGACATCCGGGAAGAAGCGTTCCGGCAAACGCAGTGCAAAGTTCCAAGTGAAGCGCTTTCGCATGGAGACCAAGGCGGCCAAGACATTGGCCATTATTGTAGGCGGGTTCATAGTCTGTTGGCTGCCGTTCTTCACGATGTATCTGATACGCGCGTTCTGCGAGGACTGCATCCAGCCGACAGTATTTTCGGTATTGTTTTGGCTGGGCTACTGCAATTCGGCCATTAATCCGGTCATCTATGCCCTCTTCTCCCACGAGTTTCGCATTGCCTTCAAGCGCATCGTCTGCCGTTGCGTGTGCACTCGCAGCGGCTTTAGGGCCTCCGAGAATTTCCAGATGATTGCCGCGCGGGCTCTTATGGCGCCCGCCACTTTCCACAAGACCATTTCGGGCTGTTCCGACGACGGCGATGGGGTTGATTTCAGCTGACTAATGGGCAACTATGAGCCGAGTCCCCTGCAGCGCACTGCCTCACTGCCGCAGGAAGCCAGCAGCAGAGATGGCGATGTGGATACCACGGGCAGCAGACGTATACGGCGCGGCGGCTTCTGCAAGGGTCGTGTGCTCTAAGCAAGCCCCATACGGCAGGAGTACCAGCCAAAACAACAGCAACAACAACTACAAGTACTTGACATAAGGCAATGCACCTCGCTTTTGTACTTTTGTAAACGCCGTCAGCCCCACTGACACATACAGTATTCGCATTGAACAACGTTGTAACTATATGGCAATAATTTTCGCGTATTTAACTAGACATAAGACATACATACAAACATATACTTGTACCTACATATATCTCTACTTTAAGCTAAATTAATGTTATATACAACACACGCTTTGAGCTAAGTACTCCGAGTAACTACATATATACATATGTATATTGTATTAAGCAGGCCCCCATTCGTTTCACTTTTCTGTTAGTCGAATACATCAGTTCAGTTATCAGAGTAATATAGTACTTAATATGTGTATATCGGCCAATAATTTGGTTAAGTGAAAATAATATCAATAAAATGAAAGCAAACAAAGAGCAAAAATCGATCGCCGACCAAATTAAAGGTAATTTATGTTAAGAATAATTGCTAGACACAGCAGTGCTGACGTTCTACAGGTAAACAGAAAACACACACCAAGGTAATAACAAGACACACACTGACCCAATTATACACATAGACACACACCATTCTTTAAGCTGACTAAAGAGAAATTAATTCGAATTCATTTAAGAGAAATGATAAGCATTCCCTGATGATTAATCTTTAACGAAATAGAGTTCACTTTCAAACCTGACCCTGACTCTTCAGTGCAGACTTTTTTATCTTGATCATGCACCTACTTTAATCGCACTGGCAGACTAACATATTTAACAAATATTGCAGTGCTTGTGACCTTCGTCTCCACTAACATGTTTGGATAGTAAAAATGCCCAAAGTAAATGAATCGTTGGTTGACATAGGTCAGAGCTGCATAGAGTCATAAATTATTGAACAGTATATAAACGGCGGCAACAATCCGAATGACATGGCATTATTGCGCTGATTATTCATTACATTCACGCGGCGGGTAATGAAAATTTATACAGCTGCTAAACGTGCGTATGAGTAATAAATGCAAAACGAGCAGCAGACCGAGGGAACAGGAATACTAAAGTGCGTGAGTGGTTGCGCGTGTTACTGTGCGGGTGTGTGTGCGGGTGTGTGTGTGTGTGAAATTATGCAAATGTATGTGTGCTAATGAAATAAAGTTCGCTTTGAAAGCAGCTTAAACAAGACTAAGGCGAGCAATAGGACAATATTGTTGCCAAGGATAGCGGCGAGACAAGGGCCTGCATTGAGTGCTTGTTGTGCTTATGCCAAGACATTTGCATAATTACGCGTTTAATTTGCTAAAGTGCAGCCTGGCAGAGCGCCAAGACATGTCGCATGGGCGGGAAAAACATGCCATGCCAGGCACTGTAGGCAATGACAATGGCAACACAGAGGGCATTTAAGCGCAATGCGAGCTGCGGGGCGGGACGCTTGAGCGATATTCAATAAGGCAGGAATCAGTATGGGGAAATGTGTGCAACGCCAAACTAATGTTAATTCACTTTTTCCCATTCAACAGGCTCCAAAGGCATTGGCTCTCGCTTCGAGGAGCAGCGTCTAACGTTGCGCATACATCGCGGCCGCGGCTCCAACCAGCAGGACTCGCTGCACAGCAACGGCAGCACTCAAAGCACCACAACTACTCTGGGCACCCCATCGCCGGAGCGTCTTAGCAAATATGCCACGCGTCGCCTACATCATCAGCACGATAAAATCAAGATATCTGTATCGTATCCGTCTAGCGAAAATATAAATGAGATGGCACAGCCGGAGCCAACGCATGAGCGGCGCACCTCCGGCAACGCCCTCTTCTCCGTACACTATAACGGCGCCCACGGACGTGAGTCGACAGAGTCGCAACTTTATCGACAGCAGCATCATGGCGGCAGCTCCTGTTACTTGCAGGTCGGGAAGACGCTGCCAGAGCTGTCGCGGCGGCAGAGCAACACCAGCGAAGCAGGTGTCGTGGCTGGCCATCCGAGATCCACGAACAAAAAAATGGGCAGGCGCAATATCAAGGCGCAAGTGAAGCGTTTTCGCATGGAGACGAAGGCGGCCAAAACGTTGGCAATCATTGTGGGCATGTTCATCTTCTGCTGGTGTCCGTTCTTCACAATTTACATCATCAGGCCGTTCTGCCAGGACTGCGTTGATCCACTACTGTTTTCGGTGCTCTTCTGGCTGGGCTATTGCAACTCGGCAGTGAATCCCATGATTTATGCACTATTCTCCAAAGACTTTCGATTCGCATTCAAGCGCATCATATGCCGCTGCTTCTGCTCCCGGCAGAGCGTCTCTCTGAAGAGCTCCCGTCGTGGCTCTGACATGTCCGCCATACGCATCCAAGGACGTACACCCAGTATTACACCCAGCGCAGCGGCGCACAGCTTTGGCGACGAGAGCGAGCTGCATCCGTCACACTCCGAGCTGGGCAACGAGTCCAGATGACGCTCGTTTGGGCCCAGCTCAAGCTCACAGAGCAGCTTGGGCGGGTTGCGTAAGACGAGCCTGAAGGTGCCCGTCTACGAGATTTGCCATCCCCTAGTCATGGAAACGCCCTCCTACTCCTACGTTGAGACCCCAGGCGATGCGCCCACCTCAACCATCAATGGCACCTCAAAGCGGACGCAATTGTAGCCGCGGGAGCTGCTGGCGCTGCGCAGCCTAACAGCCAGCGACACGAATCCCACTGCGACAGCGGGGCAGCGACCGCGGCGCACAGTTCGAATTGAGTACAGCGATGCGAGCGTCTAAACGGGAACCTAGGAATAGGACATTAGCCTAGTAAGCGACTTGTATCTAAAACTTCGTAGATAAAATATGATTAACAACTCTTTGGTAAAACCAAAAAAAAATTAATATAAATTCAGCTTCTGTTAAAAAAATAAATATTTTAACTTATTGATATATTTTAAGCAAAATAGTAAATAGTTAAAGATCGACATAAATATATATAGAGTAGTTAGTCCAAAGACAAGGGAGAATAGTTTCTCATACTAGTTAAACTGAGTGTCTATATGTTTACAAATTACATATATTCGAGGCCAAATCTACGAGAATATTCGCCATATATGTATATGAAATGAGAGTTGTACCTTTAATTAACCAAACGATATCAACATGTTGCAGAATTACAGAAATCCGAAGAAATCCGAAACCAAAACGTTGCACAAAGCATCTTAAGTATATGAATTATATATGGCATTGTTAATGTTGTGTGTTGTACTACTTTCAGCATACTTCCAGGATTATATATATCTACATAAATGTGACATACTATATGTATATACCATAGGACATAAGATATATGAAATAGCTACATACGATTCTCATATATAATATGTACGATTCCAGTTAAATGTTCTTTCTGTGTGCAATAAATAAAGAATTTCATCACAAATTATTTCAAATCTAAAATTCAAAGACTTCACTTTTGACTTTTCGAAATTTGTCTCGGAGCAATGCAGATATGCATGAAATGCATATAATGAGTAAAAGGAAAAACTGATTATGGCTCGTTCTCTTTTACTAGCTCATAGTCTTTCGCCAAGCCTTAAAGCTAAATTCTCACCCAGCTGTTAAGTCTCGCATTCCAGCTGAAGGCTTTTGTATAAAAATAGCTTGAGTATCCGGACTTGAGCAGCAACTGCAATTAAAATCAGAATGGAGCAACGCGTAGGAGAGCAAAGTGAAAAGCCTGCGCATATAATGTGCCTGCGAGGCTGAACTCACCTTTAATCAGGAGGGCGCCTTCGTTCCTCCCAAATGCTGGCAATAAATACTTTTAAGGCAATGAGATTGCTGACGATGGCAACTAATTTATGCGGCGGAGGGCTGTTCGCTGGAGCACCACTAACTAACTTTTGGGCACCCATTCCGTTTGAGGAATCCAATTTATTTGGCTTCATTTCGCTTTCAGTTCTCGCTACAAAGTGTTTCATTTGATGGAACTCAATTGATAAAACGCATTAACTTGGCGCTAAAGTTCCAGAGCTCCCCCATTTAAGTACCTTCCATAAAAACGTGCACGCTGCCCAAGTGGCTGCCATGGGACGGCTACGTCAGAGATAACATCGATTGTTCATTTAAGTTCGACTCTCATATTATCCGCCAGACAACGGAAACCCATTGTTTATCATCGACTCGGAACCACCTCCCTCCGCCAAGCAGCGACTGTTGAGTGCTGCTGAGTTTAGTGAGCTAAACAAACTTCTAAGTAATTCGCAGCAATCAGCCACTTATTTAGATTAACTGTGTCTTAAATTTGCCGATTTAATTAATTAAATAGAACTATATATTTGATCAACTTTCAGCCATCTGCAACTAACTAAATATAACCATGGTTATGTGGCTGCACTCTAGAAATAGTATTACAAGTCCAATCGAACTTTTTCAGGTAACTGAGGGTTAACATGCGGCTGCTCTGAGTAACTCCAAGTCAACAGCTTCTACTGCTATTGCTTTTTGTAAATCTTTAAGACAGCTGTGGGATAAGAAAAAGAAATCGAATAAAAAACAAACATGAATGTAGTCTGAATGCACTCATTTAGACGCTACGGCCGCCTGCCTGACTTAACCGGCCGTCTGAGTGGTCCGGCTTAGCCCTGCCACCGCACGGAAGTTGTTTGCTTTTGCCAGGTGCAGAAAGGCCGGCAAACAGAAATGGCAACGCAGGGCAGGCAAACGGTGTTGAGGTCAGTCAAATAGTCCATGCTATCGCACAATCGATAAAGCAAACAAATCTGCATACAAACAGGCGAATGAAAGGCTTCAGCAGAGAATGGTAGAGAGAGAGAGAGAGAGCGGCATATTGCAACAGAGCAAGGGAGCAAGAGAGTGAAAACATGTGTGTGGGCGTGTGTGGGGAAAGGTTGAAATAACAATGCTGCCATTTATTCCACCACAATATGAACTTTAAAAGTTGACATTTACCGTGCAAATATTGTCAGTTCGCTTGGGCTATAGCAACAGATGCTATGTATATAGCGCTGCTTCATGGATTGGCCTAATTGATTTTTTGTACAAAGCTCTGGAATTCAGCTTACTTGGCTCATAGAGTTCACTATGTTATTTATTTTTTTTTTCCTAGTCTAGATGCCTGTGCATCTAAGCTATAATCTCAGCAGGCATTTCCCTTTAGACTTTGCTCAACTCCACAGGAAGTCCTTTCGTTGTGCACCACTATAAAGCCGATTGCGCAATGAAGCAAAAGCAATGGAAAGTAAACTAAATAGAGATATAAGTAGGCGACTATATGAACATTTTGCCACTTGCACACAATACAAAGTACTACAATAAGAAGAAGAGCATCAGTGCAAAAAGGGGTCAGCAGCGAGAGAGTCGATCTAAAAAAATACTACAACTATTCGCTGACTTTTTAAAGTGAACGTGTTGAGGCCAACTTTCAACTGCAACTGTACGGCAAATGCGCAGCAGCTCGTGTTGCTCCTCAAGAAATAATCGTTTCAAAAGTTATTGACTTTTACGCTACTATTTTAGAGCATTTGTTGTTAACTTAGTTGGGCTGAAGCCAAAGTTTTGAATTGAACTTTGATGAAGTTGGGATAAACAATTTTACTATGAATGAAATAAACGATAACAATGTTGAACAGCAACAGGGAATAAGTAAGTTACTAAAGCTGTTTTCGATTTATACAAATTTGAATTTATTCACCAACATTATTTTGCAGATTGTATAGTTGGAATTTGTGGCTTAAGCATCTGCGGAATTAAGCTGGATGCTTGATAATCAGTTGACTGGATTCACACTTGGACACAATTGCTGCTGCGGTTAGCCGCAGAGAGAGCTGTCATGTGTGTGTCCCCTGCTCCCTGTTCCGTGGCTAACCACCTCACACAGCACGCAAGCTGCTGCTGACAATTTGCAGAAGGCGTTAATTTCCTTAATTTCAGTCTAATTGTTATGGTCGCCCGCGGTGCAATCAACAGGAGCAGCAGCACAGAACCACAGCACAGCAGCAGAGCCGCCTTGGCAAAGGCAATTGGCTTTTGTTAAATGAAAACAAAGTCCTCACGGGAATTTCGAGTGGGTCGGATGTGGCTGGGAATAGAATGAATATTGAAGGGCAAAAAAGTGGTTTGCTCTTATTTGGCAAGCGGTGCAGACTTTTTAGCTCAGCAATCAACACCTTAACCCCCAGTCTCTGTCTTACTTTAATTTTTGTGTCATGATGGCAACGAGTTTTTTGTTTCGTTTTGTGTACTACCAATCCACGGAAATGGCAAGCAATTGGATTTTATGGCAAAACAAAACACAGCCCAGTCATTCTGATATCCTTTAGACACTCTAAAACCTCCACCAGACACTTCAGCCCACTCGACTTGAGCCGCGCTCCTCTTTGAAGCTCCCTTTACCATCGCAGTCCATTTGACTTTTCCTTTTTTACAGTTTTTACATCATTTGCAGCTGTGCGGTAGAGTGTTTTTCGTTTTTCGTTACATTTTGTGGTTGTGATTATTTTTGGGTCTTGTTGCTGCTATTGCTGCTATTGCTGTTTGAGGCTGCTGTCATTTGGATTATCAATTCTGGCAGACATTCGACTCAATTGAACCAATGATTTGTTTGAATTGAATGTTGGTCAATCAATGTGAATGGACAAATGCACTTGAGGTCCCGCTTTGCCCGCTCCTCAATTCCGTTCTCAACATCATTGATTGCTTATCGTTGTTGACACCCGATTTCACGCACTTATTATTCCATTTTGTCGTGCTACCATTAAATGAAACGCAGTTGCACGGCGCACTTGGAAAGTTGCTTAAATTAGCTAAATTAGCTTAGGGCAAAAGTTGGTCTAAGTGAACTGTCTCGACGTTCGTTTCAACACAAAGCCATAAACCTAAACGGCCTGAAATCTTGTTTAAACAAAGCACAAAAAAGTTGGTTTCCCTTTTATTAACTTCATTGCCCCCAGCATTTTGCTACAAGCGGAAACGGAAGTTGAAGTCGTTGCCATAGCCAGACGTTTGTTGTCTGCGCTGAGTGTGTGTGTGTGTGTGTATATATATGTTTATGTACTTGTTCGTAGGTAGCTGTATGCTCTGCCGACGTCTTGGCCATACACTGGAGCTGGTAGTTGGTCGTGTTTGCTGTAATGACAAAGAGCTAAAAAATAAGTTCATGCTTTCGCAACATCATAACTGAAAACTGCCTTTGCTCCTTAACAGCTTCATACTAGAAAAGGTGGCAGAAAAAACTAATTCGAATTGTGCTATAAATATCAATCAATGATAAGCTTAAATATTTTATAATGAAGCCTAAATTATTAAAAAATTAAAATATATAATTAAACACGAAAGACAGCCTCTTGGAATTTTTTTTAAATTTATTTATTTTTTTTTTTTACATTTATATTTTGATGGTTAATCAAAGTTAGTTACTTTTATAATAAAAAATAAATTTAAAAGAAATGCCAAGAGGCTGTCTTTCGTGTCTGGCAGTCGTGCTTGTTGCCTTGTCATGCTGAAACAATTATGTCACGCTCCCATTTCCATAAAGTGTGCTGCCAACAAAATGTTTGCCGACTTTCGAAACATTTCAAATAGGATAAAAATGACGCCTGAAGCAAATATGGAAATGTACCCTGCAGAGACAGCCGAGCAACTTTCTCAATTATGTGGGCGTTAAGCTGTGCGAGCCATTTGCAATGCTGTGTAACGACTATTATGTTTCGAAATTGGCAAACAATATATTAATATTCTAATCGTTGCAATACGCTGCAGGCAGCAGCCGAGGCTCACGCATATTTTATTACGTATTCAATAATTTAATCTTAAATTAAATTAATGCAGACATAACTGACGGCAGTCCGCGAGGTAAATAGACCAAAAATTAAAG